AATGACTCACACATTCTGGACACTGCATCCTGTGTGGCTGGCACAATGAAGAAAATGCGCTCTCCATCGGTGTTGGAAACATTATAAAGTGAATGCTTCACAAGATGTATCTCATTCATGTTACTGGCGCTGTGGCTACAGTCTCCATATCAAACACCCACACGCACAGGACACCTCCACAGACCTCCTACACAACCTGCACTGCAGTCGCTACCCCGCCCCTCCCTCTCTCCTTCTCCCGCCTCAACTCATTCACCTTTCTCTCAGTCTTGCCTGCGTCACTCACCGTGTCTCTGTTGCCACGGAAACTAACGATGCCCTCTCTGCTCTGGTGCTGATGCAGGCGGGCTGTTGACGTCACCGCTGAGCGGTGGGCGGAATAACAATGTTTTGCTCGACCGCAGGGTCTCAACTCGCTGATATACTGTACTGCAAGGATGCTGTATTTGTCTCTCGTACATCTCTCTGTTTATCCCACTCTGCTCTGTGAGGCTGTGAGGGTCTAAAGTACATTCGCCAGCCATATGAGTCATTTCATGCGGGTAAAAAAAAGGAAAAATAATATTATAATTGCAAAGTAGCTGCACGCATTTTTGTTGAACAAATACATTCGGCTTTGGAGACCTCAGAAAAATACCCTACATAGAGTTTGTTTTCCAGCAGCCACTGATGGACATGTAAGGGCATTAACATTTCCACAAGTTACTTTCAATCACAGTGCACACTGGTTTCCTCCATTTACTTTCAACGTTTCCTTCCCTTTTCTCGTTTATGCTCAGTTTAACCAGGAACACCATGAGACATAATGCCTCATCTTAAGTCTGGTTTATATGAAAGTTAACCGTGATCTCTGAGCCTTTAATCAGGTCTAATCAGAGTGTGATGAATAAATAACGCTGTAATCTGAATTTGAACTTTAACCAACACAACGAGATAGCAAGCCTGCTGTGCTTCCACTTTTCTATTCATTTTCATCTATTAAAAACCTTCTTTTGACTGAGTTGGAGGAACATTTTCAGCAGAGCCTGCTGCGCTCTTCTCCCTTTCCTTGGCCTTCGCCTCTCACACCTTCCCCGCCCAGTCTCTGCTCACTTCTGGCGACCCTGAGCTTTTTTATGCTATGACATCAAACCACAATGCATTGCACTGTTTGGAGTTTACCTAATGTCTCCATGGCGATAAAGGCCGGCTCTGCCCCTTATTCAAATTGAACCGGAAACCAACGTCATTTTGGGCCAATCTCCGCGCTCTGGAGTGACATAATGGAATTTTTAGGGCTAGAAAGCGAGCAAGGTCTGGCGCTGCGCATAGCAGTCGTGCCATCGGGAAAAGACCATATCATATAGAGGCACATCAGAGCCCCAACAGGCACAACAGCTTAGTTGAAGTGGTCGACCGAGTGATAAGACGAGAAAGGAGATAAGGAGACCGGAATACACCAAGTAAGAGTCAGCTGATTTCCTCATGTTTGGATGTGACTGTTGAACAAACGTTAATGCCTAACGCTCAACACTCCCTCTCATGAGGGTGTAGAATGGAAACAAGCCTCTACACAGGCACCGTGGTGAATACTTCGAGGGTCTCCGGTATCTATTCCCAGAACACGATGATGAAGAAGGACATTAATCTGAACCTAGACAATCAGAACTCCGAACTCAAATCTAACCCGCTCCGGGACGCAGACGGACTTCTCAACTCCTCAGACTTAGGACTCCTGAAACTAACCTCTCCGGACCTAGAGCGACTTATTATCCAGTCCAACGGTCTAGTCACCACCACCAACCCGACCTCCCAGTTCCTTTACCCAAAGTCAGCCAGTGACGAGCAGGAATTCGCGGAAGGTTTCGTAAAGGCACTGGAGGATCTTCACAAGCAGAACCAGCTGAGCGAGACGGGGTGCGTCTCTGTGGACAGGCTGGAGCTCCTCGGATCATCCAGCGCAGCAGGCTCTGCCAGCCTTCAGGCATCAGACCTCCCTGTGTACACTACGCTGAACGGCTACGCGGCCAGTCCGCTCGGAGCCACCACCATTAACTATTCCACGGACACCATTCCCTTCCCGCCGCCGCCGTCTCATTTGGCTACCGCGCAGCAACAGGCGGCCGCTGCGGCCGCTCTGTCACGACTCCAGTCTGTCGGCGCTTTGAAGGACGAACCTCAGACCGTGCCGGACATGCAGAGCTTCGGGGAGAGTCCTCCTCTGTCCCCCATCGACATGGACAACCAAGAGCGCATCAAGGCGGAGAGAAAGAAGCTGCGCAACAGGATAGCCGCCTCCAAATGTCGCAAGAGAAAGCTGGAGAGGATCTCTCGGCTGGAGGACAAGGTCAAGACCCTGAAAACGCAGAACACCGAGCTGGCATCCACAGCCAGCGTGCTCAGGGAGCAAGTGGCCCAGCTGAAGCAGAAGGTGATGAACCATGTTAGCAGCGGGTGCCAGCTTTTACCAAACCAGGTCCAGGCTTATTAATTCCAATAATGGTGCTCTTTAGTTGATGTTTATTACTGCTACAAATGTGGCCCGAGGATACAGGCCTGCATTATAAAGAACATTTGTGCCCCGTGTAACAGAAAATCCCTTTCACGAGACGCTTAACGCGAAGCCAGTGTGGATGCATCCTCACGGCTATGGTTGGGAAGCATAAACAGAGACGTTTACACGGAAGTGAACAGGCCTCGATAAGAGCTGCAGGTCAACTGGAAAACGAAAGCTGGTGGGGACTACAGCTTGCAGTGTTTTGCAGCAAACAGACTCACTTTGATGTCCTTATTCTGGGAAAGCCATGTAGCAAAGTGCAATTCACTGAACTGGTGTGGCACTTATTTGTGTGTAAGCTGGACAATCTCAACGTGGGCGCAACCAAAACACCGGGGTGTCACCAAGTGCTGTCATCCACTGTGTAATATAATGCCTTACTTGTTTACAAGCACTTAAAAATGACAAATATCTATATTTTATTTACTGAAACATTTCTTATTTTACATATGGTCTTATTTCATTGTTTTGGTTTTTTTTGGAAAAATGAACACTGCATGTCTTGTCGCTTCTGTGTACAGTAACCTTTGTACTTTCCTTTATGATGGCTACTCTTGTACTTCTACTTGCCAAACTTCCATGAATGTATGTGTATGTGCTGAGAAACTCCATGTATCATGTGTAATGAACGAGTCTACAAGACATTATTAAATTCACTACATTACTACAGCTCAAACGTTTTGTTTCTTAATAAGAAGACAGCCTGCTGATAACAGTTTAAAGGACTTACACGACATCTTTTCTACATATCTCTTTTTGCACAGTTGACACTGTGGGTGTTGTATTAAGTGCTGTAGAGAAGCCGAATCAAACCATAGATGGTCAAACAACTCAAAGGGCAGAAATGAACACATCATTGTAGTATTGTGCCCTCTGCTGGGCACAGTACAACTTACTCTAAACCATTTCTGAGCCATCACATGTGCACTTCTTGTAAATCACCCACACTTTGGGAGAGGTTGTTGAATCCACACAGAACTCCAGCTTTGAGAAGTTGTTTATTGATTCCTTATTTTTAGTAAACCTGGCATTACACAGTTACAGCACAATTCACATTCCTAATGCCTGACGGGCAGAAAGTTCCTATTTACACAGGTTATATGTAACAGGGTGAGGAAAGAGGAGGAGGAGCTGGACGGGAGGATGTGTTTTCCTAAGTTATTAGCAAGTTTACAACTGCAGTAAGATACACTAACCAAAATTAAAAAAGAAAAAAAAAAAAAAGGACAAATGTGATAAGAATCACTTTTTAATCAAGTGTTCAGCATATTCACTTTATTCCCAAAACACTTTTGATGTTTGGAGCTGCTGCACAGAGTAGAAAAACTACCAGACAGGTTTGATAGCACAAGTCCAACAAGCAATGTTTTTGGCTTTAAACACATCATCAAGACCCTTTTTATAGAAACTGTACATTCAAACGCCCGAGTACAGTGCTCAAAAACTTTCAGCGAGGCTTCACTGTGCTGACGATGGTCAAAAAACACAAAACAAAAACAAAACTGTTCTATGCTCAGCCTAGCCTTAAAAGTTACATAACTGATATCAAAAGACAAACAAACTTCCCACCAAAGTCATGTGGACATGAGCAGAGGTTTTACACTGGAATGTTTAACTTTCCTCTCGAGGAATCATCTTAAGCTTTGTACACTGTGCACTGTAAACACACTGTCATCTAAAAGCTGGGACAGTTTAGCGATTGAATACTACTGAACATCTCTTAAAAAGTCGAGTGCAGAACACAATGCGTAATCTAGGAAGAATACTACAAATAAATTAAGTTATAAATAATACAAAATAAATAATTCATGTGATGAAGCTATGTCTTCGCATGCCTCAGCATATGTCTGAATGCACGACTTACAGGTTTGCACTAAATACACAAGCAAACAAATCCCTTAACCTGAGCCTCACAGAAAGAAAGGGAGAAATAAGAGTCACAATTTAACATGCTCAAAAACATCATATTCTGTCAAAAATAAATACGTAAAGACATAAATATCATCTACAAAGACATAAGAGGCTTCCTGGATATGGCAGGACTGTGCTGCACCAGTGCTCACACTGAATCACATGCCTTTCTAGTGAGTGCACGCTGCACATTGTACGCATTGAATGAAAGTAATACAATGTGCAGGGGCCTGTGGGCTTAACATCTGAAACCTTTAGCCCCACCGGGTACCTCCAAGTATCTTAACTGCATGATAGGTGGGATTTCAAATCAGACAACAGCTCATACAGATAACCATCCAGTCAACCAGAATCCATTAAGAACATCAACGACATGCACCTCTTACTACGGCACAGGAATGAATCCAATATCCAAAATCATTCTCACTTTAATATATTATATATGCATTTCACCTTTAAAACATTTATACACTCTTCAGTTAGCGAAATAGATCCTGTATCCTTTTATTTTGTCTTGTGTTAAAAAGCAGCAGTAACAAAAAAGGTTAAAAAAAAAAAAAAAAAAAAGAGGCTCTGTTGCTTTTTTTTTTTTTTTTAACGCCGCATTAACATACTCTCTGAGTCTGCTAATAAACATCTGTTTAAAATTTCTGAGACAGGCCTCAAAGTAATTATATATCTACACTCATAGAATAAAGAAATGCACTTCTATTACTACCACTTATTTTCAAAGTTAACATATTTCATAACAAAACTAAAACTGACACACTGTACGCCTATGAAAAGTTTGCACCCAGGTGTTTCCAGTGTTGTAATGGTGAAGTGGTAAAGACTTGGTAGGAGAACAATAGGCTCCTGATTCTCTGTCACGGTGCTGAGTACAAGCCAGCCGAGAGTTATTACAGAACAGTAAGAAGTTGACACATGTGCACACTAGCTTAAGTCATGGGCTTCTTTTTTAAAGTTGTACAACCACGGTTCCTATGGTGGCATGCGCATCTTCTACATTAGTCAGCTATACCTGACCATATGATCAAATTCAGAAATGCCTATACCTGCATCTTTTAAGGTGGAATGCACAGGTTCTCTTAAGTGATGTACGAATTTCAACCAGATTAAGCGTCCTGTTAATCTTGGATGCAAAATGTTATCAAAGTAAATGAGTCGTACCTTTTCTGTTGACTTTTGTTTTGTTATGAACTACATTGGGGATAAATAAAGTCTTTCTGATTCTGATCTGATTTAGTATAAAATCTCCCTAAACAACAGGATCAGTGCATTTTTAGACTCCATGAGCATAGATGTCTTGATTGGTTGAGTGATATGCACAACTTGCTATTTTTCCACTAATTCCCTAAATTAAAGAGAGAAACGAGCTCTCAAACAACCCTGTAAGGACACCAAACTAAAACACAACTATGACAAGATGATTTCACATGCTCAAAACCACACCTGACCAATTGAAAAACAAAAAAAAACATCAACCAACACAGCAACAAACATATTTTCAGTGGAAATAAATGTCGAAGAATTGCCAAATGATTGGTATCTATTTAGGTCTGAGGCATTGGTGCTGAATGGGAGTGGAGGAGAATACTGCTCCTTCACAACCTTTTAGAGTTCAACCCAATCACAGACACATTAAAAATAAGGAATGATGTAGTCTTAGCCTGACTGGCCTTTTGCAATTCTGTTATAGTGCGTGTGCAGCTATTGAAGACTTTTTACGATGGTAACCATGTTAAATGTTCTTTACCCCTCTGACCAAATATGCATAATCTCATAATTTCTGTACTACTGACAACAAAAACTTTAAGAACACCACATCTTTGGGGGGGACTGGCTGATGTGGACAGTAGTTGTGGTGTAGTGAGAGGGGTGGAGAACTGAAGAGCCATCTTACGTCTGTCTCTATGTATGGCAGTTTCTGTGTGTGGTATGAAAACAAACAAAAAGAAAGCAAAACTCAAAAATAAAACCCAACAAGGTGTGTGGATCTCATGACAGCAGACGTGTGTGTAGCTGTGTTCAACAAGCACAATCCTGATGGGACCTCTGAGGCTGCTCGCTGAGCTGTGGCCCCTGTTTAGCTCCGGTGATGGTGGGGTCGTTGTTATCCAGACTCTCTGCCATCCTCTCACAGATGATGTCCACGAGCCGCTCGAATGTCTGCTTCACGTTAATGTTGTCTTTAGCGCTTGCTTCAAAGTACTCAAAACCTGGCAGAAGGGGTGACAGAGACAGATGCGCTGTGGTTACACTTATTGTTTCAATGTGCAGCTTATCCTCTTAACCCAGTGATCTCATCGTGGCAAGACATATCAAGACTAGTCAGGCAGGCAGCTCAAGTCTGATGACATTTTCCTTTATATCAGAGGACTGAAGAGATTTTAAAACCTGTCTCCCTTTGACTGGTGGTCTGAGATCGAACCAAATAGTCTAAGAGTATAAAAAAACATCCTTCTCAAAGCTGCAGCTACTTAGCTTCTTTGTGCATTTCCATGTTTGTAATTTCTTAAGTTCTGATGATCTGATCTCTGTTAAACTTCAGATATCTTGTGTAATGCTCATGTTAGCAGTTCACTTTTGCTTAATTCCCTTTAATTTAGAGTTACAGTACTGTGCACAAGTCTTCAGCCACCCCTCATTTCTTTATGTTTTGCAAGGATAGTGGGAAACATGCAAAAATACACAAAAAAAGTATATAAAGGCAAAAAACAGAGTTCTCCAGGCTTCTTGAAGGACATTCAGAGCTTATCTTTGGATGTTGGCTGCTTTTGTTCTGTTATCTGTCAAGATGATCCCACAATGCTTCAGTATTTTTGAGGTCTGGGCTCTGGGGAGGTCAATTAATGACCAACAGTGTACTTGTTCTTGTGTATTTTGGCACACCATGGCATTTTATAACATGTTTTCCTTCCTTAAGAATGGCTTCTTGACAGCTGCCCTTCCATTGAGACCATTTCTGATGAGGCTTTAATAAAAGGCAGCTCGATCAACTGGAAGGTCAGATGCATCTCTTAAGTCCTGTGTTAGGTCTGTGTTGATTTTCCTATTTTTAACAACATAATCAAGGATATGATTTACCTGCTGTAGACATTTTAGGCCTGCTACATCTTCTTGGGTCCTCCACTTGTCCAGTTTTCTCAAAACATTTTTTGACACACTGAACATCACCTTGTTGGTGAAAAAAACTATTTTATGTCTGTCAAATTGGCAGTTTTCATAGATTCAGCTAAAGAAATGGTGACAGATGATGTGTTTCTCCAACAGCCTGCTAGTAACAAAGTGCCTGTCCAAAGAAAAACTCAGAAAGCCTTGAGGACTGTTGTTCAAGAGCACTCTAAACATTATAAGCAAGTCTGGCTCCTTGTATAAACAAGTGAGGAGTGGCTCAAGACTTTTGCACAGCACTGTATTATACTACTACTCTTACAACCTCTCATCCCACTTAAAACATTGTCTGTAATGTTTTATGATGGCTGTGATGAAGGCCACAAGCCCAAACACACATCAAACGATAACATTTCTCTGTAAGAGCTGCTGCAGCTTTAACGTTCTCCAAACATCAGTTTCACGCACAAATGAAACGATGCAGTGAAGAGGACATTAAACAGATATTAAGCATTATGTTTGCTCCCATAACGACAAACTCGCAAACAAACAGCCTAATCAAAACTTGGCCATCGGAATAAACGCAAATATTCCTGGAAACGGGAGATGCACACCCAGAGTGATGCAACACCACACACAGTGTCCAGTTTTCATTCTGACCAAATGACTTACCCAGCTGTTCTGACAGCTGCCGGCCCCTCTCTGCAGCCACCACTCGCTCATCTTCCATATCACACTTGTTCCCCACCAACAGGACCTGAGCGTTGTCCCACGAGTATGTCTTGATCTGGGTCGACCTGTTTGCAAAAACAGGATGGTTTAATGTTCTGATTCACAGAATCTCACAAGCATTTTTTGACATTAAAGCAATTTAATCAGAAAATATTTTGACGCATCCCTTCAGCACAGAGCTGTGTGGATCTGAGAAGAAAACTATCTAACATACGATCTGCTGCGTTTCTTTCTCGTTCAGCAGTGACATACACTTCTTCCATCTGTGTTGCAAACACAGAGTTAGAAAAACCAACGGTTATTTTTAACATCACTGTGCATTTGTTTGCCGATTTCAATAATGACCTACTGTAGTCTAATGATGTATTAGACTATCTCCATGTAGTGGAACCACAGCTGTACGTCTCAAAAAGGAAAGCTGGGCGAAATTAAGAGAAAATAAGATTGCAGCTTAATGAGTCACCACTCTCACAGACAGACAATCAGCCGTCCCTCACCAGTCTTGCACAGCGTTGAAGGATTCCTCATTGGTAATGTCATACATGAGGATGAAGCCCATGGCACCCCTGTAGTAGGCTGTGGTGATTGTCCTGTAGCGCTCCTGCCCAGCAGTGTCCTACATTCAGAGACATTTTTGAGAATATGCAGGATTATTGTGAGCAGAGGACAAAGAACACTGACGAGGCACCTGCAATGGATTTGTGGCTGTGCAAGAGTCTCCAAACTCCCATGAGCATTACACATTCTTGTGGTGTTTCATGTAATGAGTACTTGGTTCCAGTGTCAGGCTTTATGGCTCGTATTAAGTACCCTTCAAGGGTTTACACAACAAATAAAATGAATCTAGGCACAGAAGAGGCCAGTTCTGGTACTGATTAGCGACATACGATAAGTCAGACTCCACTGTCACTAATACGATGGGCAGGAAAAATCTGTATTTTAATAAGCAATAAGGTAAAAGGGAAATTCATGATAACTCTGAATATGATGAAATCTAATTTGTTTGCCAGTTTGAAAAGCTGGAGGAATTCATGTTTAGTGTTAGCTGGCAACGTTCTCAAAATGGATTTCTCATTTTGCACATTTCAAAGTATCAAGCTGCAAAGTCAAAGTCAAGTCAAAGTCAAAGTCAACTTTATTGTCAATTCTGCCACATGTACAGGACATACAGAGAATAGAAACTTCGTTACTCTCAATCCCTAGATAAAATAGAAAAAATAGAAAATGCATGCATGTGAGCATGCTAGGATCTGATTGGCTCAGGCAGTGAGTGTGAGCCGCCGCTCAGGTGTCAACGTTCTCTTAATTATAGTGAAACTACACAATGATGAACCAACTATGTGTGAGGCCTTGAGGCGGACTTCAAACAAGTATAACAAGTACGCTTACGGTAAGTGCTGTCTCCATCTGTCCATGAGTATAATTAGTCAGATAAATAGACTTCCTTTAACTTTGAGAAACTGGATTTGCAATCTGCTGTTGTTTTATATAGAATAACAATCATGTAAAAATATGAGTGCAAGTGTGTGCAGCAGTCATATGGACTTAAACCACTAAAAAAATAAAATAAAATGATAAACATGCACGCACTGCAGGCTGCATTTGGTTCAATTTAATTAGCTCTCCAGCTGTCCAACTCCACTGCAGCATAAGAAAATCTTGATTTCAGTTTGAACATTTAAAAATTATGTAATGTAGTGGAACTTATATTATAGTGCCTACTGCAAGTCTCACTCACACTATCACGCATACATTCACAACTCAATTAAATTCAATTTTATATACATGTGGAGCTCCAAATCATAACAACAACAGAAAAACCCAACAATCAAACTACATCCTATGAGCAAGCGCTTGGTGATAGCGCAAAAGAAAAGCTCCCTTTTACTAGGAAGACCTTGTGGTTCAGCTTCTTGCTCAAGGATACTTCATTACATGGAATGGAGAAGCTGGGGATCAATCAGTGACTGGCAGACACCTTTCACCAGTTACCCTCATTTCCCACATTTATCGTTTTAAACCCAAAGATCTGCTTTGGTAACCACTACACCATCTGTACCTACAATCTCACCTCCTGAAGTTTCACAAGGAGCTACAGCGGTATGTCGGATACAGGTTATTACGTCAAAATGGGATTGTAGGAGATAGTAAGAACTTATAAAATTTGCTTTCATTTTCAATCAAACACTGACAGGAGTTAAGTGTGTTCCATAAAGACATACAAGTACTATTTTTGTGCTATTCGTTACATTCTCACCCATATCTGAAGCTTTATCCTCTTGTCATTCCTGTAGATGGTCTTGACCTTAAAGTCGATGCCCACAGTGCTGACAAAGGCTGGCGTGAATGAGTCATCTGCATAGCGGAAAAGGAAGGAAGTCTTTCCTACGCTGCTGTTGCCAATGATGAGGATTTTAAACATGTAATCAAAGTTTTGGTCCGTAGACTCCTTCTGCCCGTATGTGGCATTTGCAGACGCCATCTACGCAAGGATAAGGATAAGTAAGTTATAAAGAACAAAAGCTTGAGGAAACAGCGTGCAATGTTACTTTGCATGAAACAGCAGAAACACGTTACAGTATGCACAGTACAACAACTTAAAATACTGCAAACTACATTTGTGCAACCTGAAAAAACAGCAACAAATTTGTTGCAGATGTGTTGTATTTGTTATATTTACTTCCAGCAAATTTGCAGGCCATGTATTCGTGACAGTAACTCCTTAATTAAATAAACAATTCCTCTGCTGGTGGCTGAGAAACTTTATGGTTGGTGCAGTACCCATCAGAACATTTTTCCACCCACTATTCCCTCAGCCAGCAGATCAGAGCTTTACTAACCTGCAAAAAGACAGTTTAATTGTTTTATATACTCCTAGAATTATCTACAAGAGTAGAAAATTGTTTATTAGTACATTTATTTTGCATTATATTTACTGTAAATCTATATCAGAAAACTAATTAGTAACTAAGATAAGATAAGATAAGATAACCTTTATTAGTCCCACACGTGGGACTAATATATTTTTTGTAGTGAAATAAATACTGTGTCCACTCTTTAGACCAGGAGTGTCAAACATAATGCCTGGCCCTTTGGATGGCTTTCAAAATTGTGAAGCTGGATATAAATTCAAGACTTTTAACTGTATTTTCACAAGTTTTACAGCTTTTTCTACAAATAAAGAGGTCTCCCAGGGTGATTCATACGACACCAAAGCAATGAAGTTATAGATTTCTGTAGTTTTACAAGTTAACTTCTTATAATTTAAGCTCAAAGAGTCACACTGGCAGATTTCTTTCATTTACTATAGCAGCAATTCTTTCTCATGCAGAAAAACTGAAGCATACTTCTGAAACGGTGCTTCTTTTTCTTATATTAACATATCTGATTATATTAGCATATCTCTTTCTGTACACTGAGAGAAAGACACATTTCATTGCCCACATAAAAGCGAGCTGTATGTGGCCTCTGATGTAAAATGAGTTTGACATCCATGCTTTAGACTCTCTCCTGCAAGCTGTAGGTACTGTTGCTTGAAAGAGAAAGAGGAGAGTTTCTACCAGCCTTCAGCAAAATTTAGTAGAAATCTGTCAAATTGAAATATGCTGGCACATTAAAGAGCTTTTACTTTATTTTTTTCATTCAGATCACTGCGTAAAAGAAACCCTTAAACTATCTGATTAGATGGTCTGGTGAAAGACTTCTGATGGTATTAAAATGTGAAAATACTGACTGCAAGAAAAACTACAAATTAGTGAGGATTCAGGTGAACTCAGCCGATGGAAACACTGGGCCAATCAACATGGCCAGCAAGCACTTCCATCTAGCTACTGTTCTGTTGAATCCTGTTGAACATGTTGAATTCTATAATTTTCATGCATTTTCCAGTTAGTCTTTAGGTGGTGAAATATTCAGTTTTCTGGCTAAATTTTAACCAGATCAAACAGACAGGAAAAGCATCAGAAGAAAACTACAGACGCACAGAAAAGCCAAATCAATCTATATTACCCACAAACATCCTTTGAAGCCTCTTTTTTTTTCTAAACCAACATTTGTCTGAGTAAGGAAGTCAACAACTCAAAGGCACAGAGCTCTGAAATGCATGTACCACATAGAGATCAACTCTATTGCAGAAAGTACCTGAGCTCTGAAAATAATATGATGCAACAATTACGGCATCATGAACTCAATAAGATGTGCCTCATTTCATCGCATGCTGACATCTCTTGTGTATCAAGTGAGCCTTACAGCAGACAAATATGTTCTGAAAAGGAAATAGTCTAAAAATATAGCCATAAACTTGTGTAAGTTTCCAGCACTACAAGGATGGTCTGATAGAGGGTATTACTGCAATCTTACACGAGATCATAACTAAAAACAGCCTCATGCATACCCCTGATGGGGCTAGATAATGGCATTACGGTCTGTTGCGTGAGATTTTTAAGCTACTGCCTTGGATGTATCAGGACAGGAATGAAAACTGATGCCGTTTCGCTCAGATGCTGCGTCACATCCAGCCAAAAACAGATCAGAGACACGAGCGTTTCTACGTCATATCAACACAGGTTGGATAAGAAATGCACGCCTCCACTCCACACAGATAAGAGGCCGGAAGTACTAAGGCTTAGCAGGCTAAGCGTCAGCTAAACTGACTACCCTTTCCCATCCAAGGAGGGCTGGGACCTGCGCGAAGCGCTTGGCTGTACAGCCAATTATGGATGCCCGTATGGTGGGCCAGAATGTGCTTCGTAGGGCATTGTATTTTGGAAACGGCCCAAACAGTAGTGCCCTCTCACATCACGTCGCTAATTTAAATGGCTTGAACCACACCACCAATTAACACCGGATCTTAGCTCCGCTGAGAATAAGCCAGAAATTGACAGGTTGGTTCACTTTAGCTAGAGAAATACATGGTAACACTATAACGCGCTTTCATGCACCTTAGCCACCACGAAAGGTAACAAAGGGGATTAAAATAAATTAACGCATTGCGCATAAAACGGAGGTGTTTCTACAAATAATCTGAATTCGGCTACCTTTAATGCTAACACAACAGCCACCGTTACTAGTATTTATATGTGGCAGCAGGGGCTAGCTAAGCATCCCAGCTATGTCAAATGAAGGTTACTCCTCTTAATTTACGGCTAAACACGCTATCAAAATCTCAGACTATATAACCGATTTATAACCCACATGCTTTCTGCTGCTACTGTCACACTTGACAAGGCCTAGAAATAACAAAAAACGCAGGGATTTACCATGAAATGTGTTTTCTCTTCGGCTTTACTGCAGCGGCTAGCCCTGCTTTGCACCTGCAGTAGCTCTTACGCTCCTTGATTGGCTGCCTCCGGCATAAGCAGTTGCTAAGTGTAAGAATGATTGGCATGAGACTTGACCAATCAGAGAAGAGAAAAGACTTCAACATTGCCAGAGTGACCATACAGCGCTGCGTGCGTTTTCTTTCTTAAACTGGCCAAAAGAGAGGACAGGCTCTAATAAAACGAACTCGGAGAATTTGAGAGTTACATGAGAGTTAACATACATGCATAAACCATCCTGTAGCTTGATAAAGTTAAGTAAAACTCTACTCTAAGTACCACTGGGTATTCTGTGTCTCGAACTGATTAAAGTTTGGTGCAGTACTTAGGTAGGATAAAATACAGAAATAAATATTCATCTTATCACTCCTTGATGTATAGCATTGTGTTTCTTAATTTTTTTTATTACTACATTTTAATTGCAAGGTATAATACATATTTTGCACTAATCTCCAAAACTCAGCATTCAGTTCAATACATTCAATTAAAATTGATTAAATTTAGCTTTATTTACATGACACCAAATCACAACAATAGTTATCTCGTGGCGCTTTATATTGTAAGGCAACAAACCTACAATAAAAGAGAGAAAACCACAACAACCAAACGACCCCCATGACCAAGCACTTGGTGACATGAAAAACTTCCTTTTAACAGGAAGAAACCTCGAGCAGGACCAGGCTCCGTGAGGGGAAGGGAGTGAAGGGAGACAGAACAAAAGACAGGTTGTGAAAGAAAACTAGAGATGAATAATAATTAATGATAAATGCCAAGTGGTAGGGACTATCCAGGGTCACCTGATCCACTCCCTAACCATAAACTTTATCATAAAGGAAAGTTTGAAGCCTTATCTTAAAGGTCGAGAGGGTGTCTGTGAATCACCTAAATACATTACAAACTGGGAGCTGTTTCCACAGAAGAGGTACCTCTCAAACTACTTTTAAATATATTAAGAAGTAAGCCAGCAGTCCAAAAGTGAAGTGCTCTGTTGGGGTGATATGATACTATAAGGTCTTTGAGATAAGATGTCTTTAAATACAACCATTTATCATCTTAATCTGTTATCCACTTAAGGTGACACGAGGCTGGAGCTTTCACAGAGCGAGATCCACCCTTTGGAAATTAGAACTGAAAATAAAATTAGCATTGAACAATGTTTGTCTGCAGTGTCACGTAGAAACGCATTCTCTTTGGAGCTACTTTTAAAAAAGCAGTAATCAATACTCATTTCCTTTAAGTGATAAATGCATTTATGACTTGCTTTTCTCATAAAAGGAGAAAACGGGACATCACAAAGTGAAGAGCTTTTCCTTTATTGGCAAGGCATACAGTTCTAGTTGGACAGAGGGCTAACGCAGCCACAGTTAAACAGCAGAGTTGGATTGTCAAAGCTGCAGAGTTTCAGTTTATGACACACATTCATAAAAATCTCCACGCACAGAAATACTGGTCTTGGTTGGCTGTTGAGACTGTTCGACAACGTGACATCTTCACTAAGAGTCAAAGAGCTTTCAGATGAGCGCACGTACTCCGAGATCCTTTATGAACACGTGATGCGATCAGATCAGTGATGACAGAGGAAGACAGGCGATAGGACGTGATCCAGAAAACCCAGACGGAAATCTGTCACACAGCAATTTTTACATCAAGAGAAAAGTGAAAGTGAGTATTCGCTCATGTATAATGTTATATTAGAAGTGAAAAGGAAAAGTTTCTCACACATGAAGCCACGTGTGAGTATTAAAACCTTAGACTAAAAAAAAAGCTACTTGTCTGTCACATCGTTGCTGACAGGTAATACAGAAGCAATAAATAAACTGTACACAAAGTACTGTGAGGAAAAAGAACACTATGAATTAGTGACACACAGAGAGACACACACTGACTCTTTGCATGTTGTGCTGGTTATAATGTTGTTAAATAGTCCTTTGGTGTTGAAGGCATCTTTGAGAGTTGAGTCGTCGGCTACAGAAAGGATTGCACATGTTTTACTCCAGCATGTCAGTGACCAGAAAAAAATCCCAAGTTAAAAATAAGGCTTCAAAAAAACAAAAAAAAAGGAAGAAAGAAAGCTCAGTCACACATTTAAAACATAAGTTACACTGTTTCATGGTAATAAAAAAGTTTCTCGACAGGATGAGTTTGGTAAGTTCTCTGCATTACTTTCATAGTGTTTGAATCCGGCAGCTAATGTCACACATCTCAACAAAACACTTCTTTTGCACAGTCAATTAGTTCATTATAAAAAGGACCAAAGAAAAGAAAA